ACCTAAAGTAAGGGATTAAACTGTAATAGGGAGAATGCCATGACTCTAAGTGCAGAAATAAGAATCAAGTAACTGAGTTCCATCTATGAAATATATGAGAGATCAGAACACTAAAATATTAGTCATTGATTATGACTTAGTTGTTTCTTTTTTTAGCTTGGTACAGATCCTGGAACATTACTTTTTTTCTTACTCTTTGTCCCTAGGTATGTGTCATCTTCCTATATACTCGCTTTCGTTGTATTTAACCTAATTCTTTCCTACCATTATTCCTACTAAGTACTTGCTTTCCTAGTTCCCCAGATTTGTCTTTACTTTTTCCATGCTTATCCCTACTATCTGACCATTCTTTTTAAATAAAACATATTTATTTATTGCTTATTAATTACTGTCTTTGTCCTTCCCCACTATTCCTTACCTACTCTTAACCTTTCCTCCACTCCAAACACACACTCATTCACATTAAAATGGAAACTCCGGAGGTACCTGAGTGGCTCAGTTGGTTAAACATCTAGCTCTTGATTTTGCTTCAGGTCATAATCTCATGGTTTGTAGGTTTGAGCCCTGCATTGAGCTCTGCACTGATAGTGCAGAGCCTGCTTGAGATCCTCTTCCTCTCTCTTTGCTCCCCCCCCCCACCATCCTCAAAATAAATAAATAACCTTTAAAAAAATCTGGAAGCTCCATGTCTTATTCACTGCAATGATCCCTCACAGAACAATGCCTGATACATAGCAAAGGCTCAGCATACATGGACTAAATGATTAAAATCAATGAACAATATATTTTCTTCATGTCAAACCTAATGTCTTTTCATTTCTATACCATCTCTTATCATACTTCATCCTATAATACATTTCCTGGCCCAGGTTTGTTGGACAACTACCATTTTCCATACTCATGGAAAACCCCTTAACGCCACATTCATCACCAAATCTCCCAGAGACCTAGCAGATACTATTACATGTAGAAAGCACCTAGTAGGCTAACTAAATTAATTAAAAACTCCTAGAAAAAAAAGTCTATTCTTCATCATTTCAAGCTGTCCCTAGATTGCTAAGAGAGTTTCAAGTCTACTTACCACTTCACTATTACAAGGTAATCTTTAATGATATCAATCTACAATAACTAGCTTGTTTATTCACACTGCAAGGCAATGGCCACTGGGGATACAAAAGTGGTTAAGACACTGACCCCCATGGAAAAGCTCACAGTCTAACGGGAGAGGCTGACACCGACATTATAAACGGAATGCATATACAAGGTCAAATAGTTTAAAAATGTATGATGCAGGGGTGCCTGGATGGCTCAGTTGGTTAAGCATCCAACTCTTGATTTCAGCTCAGGTCATGATCTCATGATTCATGAGTTCAAGCCTTGTGTTGGGCTCTGTGCTCTCAGTGTGAAGTTTCCTTGCGATTCTCTCTTTCTTCCTCTCTCTGCACCTGTGCCTTGTGCTCTCACAGGCTCTTTCTCTCTCTCTCCCTCTCTCTCTCTCAAAATAAATAAACTTTTAAAAAAATTTTAAAAATTTATGATACAGTGAGGGAATAGAGAGAGAGGTCAACTTTTCTGGGGAGATCAAAAAGACCTCTTGAAAGGACTGAGTTGGGTTTTGTTTGGTTTAGTTTTTCATTTTAGTGTATTTTACCCAATTTAATTTGACTAGTCAGTGCATTCACATGGTTCAAAACTTGAACGATATAAAAAGATAATACAAACACAACAGCAAATGCTGGTGAGGATGTGGAGCAAAAGGAACTCTCATGCATTGCTGGTAGGAATGCAAAATGCTATAGCTACTCTAAAAGACAACTTGGCGGTTTCTTACAAAACTAAACACTCTCTTACCATATCATCCAGCAATCATGCTCCAGGATATTTACCCAAATGAACTGAAAACTTACATCCAGGGAAAAACCCTCACACAGCGGTTTATAGCAACTTTATTCATAATTGCCAAAACTTGGAAGTAGCCAAGACATCCTTCAGTAAGTGAATAGATAAACTGTGGTACATCCAACAATAGAAAATTATTCCATGCTAAAAAGAAATGAGCTATCAAGTAATGAAAAGACACAGAAAACCTTAAATGTATATTACTAAGTGAAAAAAGGATATCTGAAAAGAATGCATATTGTATGATTCCAACTTTAGGACATTCTGGAAAATGGAAAACCCAAGGAGACAGTAAAAGGTAAGTGGTTACCAGAGGTTAAGGGAGAAAAACGAATAAGTAACCGGGACAATAAAACAATTCTGTATGATATTATACTGATGGATACATGTCATTATACATTTGTTGAAACCCATAAAATGTACAAGATCAAGAGTGTATTAATGTAAAGTATGGATTCTGGGTAATTACGATATGTCAGTGTAGATTCATCAGTTGTAACAAATGTACCATTCAGTTAGGGATTTTGATGTGGGAGGCTGTAACGTGTGGGAACAGGAGATATAAGAGTATAGGAGAACTCGATGTACTTTCTGCTTAATTTTGCTATAACCTAAAAGTTCTTTTCAAAAAATATCTATTTTAAAAGAAGAGAATACAGTGAAAAGTATTGTTCTCATCTTTGACCCCGGCTGTTCAAATCTCCTCTGTACAGGCACCAGTGACTTTAGTTTCCTGAGTATATTTCTAAGGATTTTGGGGTATGTGCAAACTTTCCATAATTGTATGTCATATCTATAGACATGATTTCCCTCTTTCTTCCTCAAGTGGTAGTATACAACACATTCTGTTTTGCACCTTACTTTTTTCACCTAATGATATACCTTGGAGATTTCTCCATATTGGTACAGAAAGAACATCTATATTCTTTTTTTTTGCTGTGTATCATTGTATGAATGAAAAATAATTTATGTAATCAGTCCCCTATTGATGGGCATGGAAGATGTTTCTAGTCTTTTGCTATTACAAACAACTCTGCAATAAATAGTTGTACCTATGTCATTTTGCAAATAGGCATATATATTTGTAAGGATAGAGTTCTATAAATAAAACTGGTATGTCAAAGAACATGTGCATTTGTATTTTAAAATGTATTTCCAAATTTCCTTTATATAGAACTATACCAAAATATGACTATAGACTTAGCAAGAGTATGTGATCAACCTTCTGGATCTTTTCCAACTTCCTGGTAAAAAAATAGCATCATGTTATAGTTTAATTTACACTTCCTCCTACTATGAGTTGAGCATATATAATATTTGAAAGCCATTTGTATTTCCTTTTCTGTAAACTATTTATATCATCTGTTCATTTTTCTACTGATTTTTTTTGTCATTTCCTTATTGATGTGTATGTATTCTTTTTTTTTTAATGTTTTATTTATTTTTGAGAGAGCACAATCAGGAAAAGGGTAGAGAGAGGGGGACAAAGGATCTGAAGTGGTCTCTGTATGTACAGCAGTGAGCCCACTGTGGGGCTTGAATTCACAAACCATGAGATCATGACCTGAGCCAAAGCAGGACGCCCAACCAACTGAGCCACTCAGGTGCCCCTGGGTACTCTTTATATATTAAGGAAACTAACCTTTATCTATAATAGTTGCAAATATTTTGTCAGTTTGTCTTTGGCTTTATATCAAGTGGGTTTTGCCATGCAGACTTTTAAAAGTATAGTTGAATTTATCAGTGTTTTCTTTAATGGCTTCAGTATTTTTTGTCATGAAAAGATCTTATCACTGAAGGTGATTTTTAAAACTTCTTATAAAAATATTATATGACCAATATTTTCATAGTTCTGTTTTTTACATTTAAATCTTTAATTTTTAATATCTCAGGATGTGGAGTAAAAAGTATAGCTCCTTTTGTTTCAGTAATCAAATACTCTCTTATTTCCCCATACCGCTCCCACTGGTGCAAGGTGCTACTTGAATCATATACTAAACTCTTGCGAGCCAACTTTTATGCTTTCTATTTTTCCAATGGTTTTCCTGACTGTTCATGTGCCAGTACCAAACTGTCTTAATTATTATAGCTTATAATATGTTTTAAATCTGGTAGGTGAGTGTCTTTCATTATTCTTCCTTTTCAGAGTTTTTCTAACTATACTTACAGCGTATTTTTCCATGTTAATTTTAAAACCATCTTGCATAGTTTAGAAAAATCCTGTTGGTTTACAATACTGTATTGTATACTTGAAAGCTGCAGAAAGTAAATATTAAATGTTCTCACCACTCACACACACACAAAATGGTAATTGTGTGAGGTGATAGATGTATTAACTAACCATACTATGGTAACTACTTTATAATATGTACGTATATCAAATCATCATATTGTATATCTTAAACTTACACAATGTTATATATCAATAATAGCTCAATAAAGCTGGGAAATCCTGTCGGTATTTTTATTGGGATAATATTGATTTATAAATTAACTTAGGAAGAATTGATGACTTTAATGGCTTTGAACCTTCCTTCCAAGGTAATGGTGTGTTGGTTTTCTTGTTCAAGTCTTTTATGTTTGTTGATTATGTTTTTACATTTATTTTATATATCTCTTATGTGTTTCATGCTCAGTTTACTCCTAAGATATGTTCTCTTCTATAAATGGAGTATTTTCTTCCATTATGTCTTCTATATCTGTCATTTGTTTCTAGAAAGCTACTAATTTATATATATTAGTTTGAAACACAGCCACATAGCTAAATTATTTCATTATTTTTCATAGTGTTAAAACTTGATTGCCATGTTTTTTTGGTTTACAAAAAAATGTCTTAGAAATGTCTTCTATGATAGGGATCATTTTACTTTTTCCAATTGTTCCTTATCTTACTGAAATATTTTGGCTAATGTTTTGGCAACAATACTAAACAGCAATTGTGGTAAAGATGAATATTCTTACCTTGTGCCAACGGAAGCAGAATCTTAAAGGATGAATATGAATTAAAACTCTTTTAATTTTAAATAACAGAAACCAACTAAAGTATGCATAAGCAAAATGGGGGGAATGTATTATATAAAGACAGGGTGTCTCACCATTCAAGGGCAGCAGAAACCATGGGAGTGCTCTCTGTCTATGTCCTGTGTTCCTCTTCATATGTCTGTTTCATTCTTTCTTCTTAGATTTCTCTCCCACTCAGTCACATTGGAGGAAGAAGACGATTTACCCACAGTGACTAAGTTGCATGTTAAAGATCAAACCACAAAGTGTTCTTTTCCTTTAGTCCAAAAAGAAAGGATTCTGACAGTTCCATTCTGGTCCAAATAACCAACGATGAGAAAAGGGCCACATTACAAACATTACTGCTGGAGGCAGAGGTAAGGAGTAAGTACTTAATGACATAATTTTGAGCTGGGTATTTACTCTAAAGGCAAGTCTACTATAGCATACAAAAATACACATGTATAAATAAACATGCATTTCAGGAAGCCACAAAGCACTCAGCTGTGATTTCTTAAAGCACATGAGCTTCTTTAAGATCCTCTGCCTTAGGTTGGTTTCTCTGGAAGCAGAGCCTGAGACAGGGATTGGGATGCATATCAATTACTGAGGGAGTGTGCAAGAAAAACTAGTAAGGGAGAGAGTTCAGCAGAGCTGGGAAGAAACAGTGAGAAAGAATATAGTCTCAGGTAAAGTCCAGCCATAGTCTGATCTACAAGAATCCTTTGCAGAGCTTTCCCTCCCTAAGATGAGAAGGTAGGCTTTTTGTAGCCCCTTAGCCATCAGTCATTGAAGTGGAGTGCCTAGCTTTTTCATCAGGTCAGCTCCCATCAGCTTAGGGCAATTCTTTAGAGAGGGGGCTGTAGCTATGAGCCTTTGCCAGTCAACAGTCACAGAAGCTTGGGGGGGGCGAGGGGGGACACTGAAATAGCATCAACTACACCCTATGTTAATAAACTTCCTATCAAAATGTTGACAACATAAGAAGATATCATGATGTTGCAACACTTAAAAAATACAAGGCAAAAAGAGTTAGTTCTGCAATTAAATCCTTTGCCCTTTTTATGTTTTCCTTTTTCTCAAGTTTGTAATGGTTCGAACTCAGGTTGGAAATCACAGTAGAATCAATTAACAGGTTAACATTTACCAAGCCCCTGTCATGTGACTCACATTGTGCTAAGTGCTGTTAAGAACACAAAGCAACACAAGATGAGGATTCTGTTGTGGATCAGGAGGAAATGGAGGAAGACAAGATTTAAATACACAAATAAGCAGACATAATAGCACTAAACCAAGTTTATCATGTGGGGAGAGTCTTAGAATTAAGTTCCAGGACAATGCTTACTCCATAAGCTTGAGTAATGGTGCTTAATATCTTTTCCCATTTATTGATTAGAGTTTGAAATATTTTCCACCAATGCTAAGGGAAGTTGAAGAGGATAACAATGGTAAATTGTTCTAAATAACATGAAGGCAAGGACTAAAAGACATACAACTATACCATGTTGCTATTGGGCAGACGCTATTACACAGAGATGCAAAGGGAAAACCACAGTCATTTGCCTCTGCATTCATCTCCCTGGTGCAAGTGGGCATTGTTCTGTACCCCGTGGCAAGAGTAGAAACACTGCCAGGGAACAAGTACACAGAGTTGTTAAGGAAACCAGAATGCATCAGCTCAGAGTTATTTACAGAGAACTTTCAGGATGATCACATTCAATAAAATCAACTGTTTCAACACACTTCACTGCTTGACAGTACATCCCAATCACGTATCTATTTTGAAGGGTCCTTCCATCAGCTGCACTTGAGTGCATATGGATTCAAGAGTCAGTGAATGGTGGTCACATCACAAAAGTGTAATTTATGTGTGGCACTTCTGTATTACGTGTTTGATGCTTGTTCACACTTGCCCCAACCATTGTCAAGTTTGTTGGCTTCTGTAATATTGGAACAAGGTGGCTGTTGACTGCCATTGATAGAGAAACATTTCCTCCAAAGCAGCTGTCATCTGTGTTGCCCAATACTGATATAGTGGGACTTGTCTCTTCACATTCTCTCCACTCAACTTTTGAGCTAGATGGTAACACCTGCCTTTGGCCATCATTTTTGTCCTTAATTGTGAATCGGAATTTTTCCACCTACCCAATTCTTTGAAAAAAGTTGCAGGGTCATTTGATTGTTGAGAGAATGAGGATTTTCATAGCCTTTGAGGGATCTTTTGAACCATTTGATGTTTCAGCAGACGAAACTGTGGAGGCTGTCAAGCTGATGATAAAGGTATGTACTTTGTCTCTAAGCCTCTAAGATGTATACTAATTTTAACTGCGCAGTAAGTTTATACTGTGCATGGGGTAGAGCTACTATTAGGTACACTTTCAACAAACAGGGAACTAAAACTATTTGAAAATATTATTTGCTTATGTAACCGTTTGATAAGAATGGAGTAACTATGGAGATGTTAGACAGGAAGCAAACTGAGTCAGTAAATTCTCAGGAAAAAAAAGTTTGACTTCTATTTATGAAATGTGTAGGTTGTACACTGGCCAGATAGTATTATTGCAATTCTTCATAAAATGACAAAAATAGGACATTAACTCTAAACTATATAAATAGAGCATGCCAGTTGTTAGATAGATGACACATTTGGTGAACAAGTAACTGGAATGATCCGAAGGATTTTGGAGGTAGAGAGGACTATAGACAATTTCTGAGCTTCTCATTTTGCATCCAGGGAAGCTGACACTCAGAGAGGCTGACCATCTTACTTACAATTATAGAACCAGAATAATAATTTGGATTCAGTGTCTCTCTTATAAATTTTTAGAAATATCCCCTCTAAAATGGGAAATTAAGACAAATGTTTAGGTCTTGATCATCAGATAGTAGTTAACTTGGAGATGATCATTCCCATCTGCTGAGAAGCATTTATTACTCACAGTCACATGATATTTATAAGATTACTATGATTACTGAAATCTACATCTTCTAATACAGAGGGTCTTAATCTATGTCATGAATGCTTTGGCAGTCTGGTGAAGCCTAATGATTCCTCATAAGGTTTTTAAATGCACACAATAAAATACATACAAAGAAAAGAAAACAAGTTATATTGAAATGCGATTTTCAAACATTAAAAAAACAAATTTGTGGGGTGCCTGCATGGCTCAACTGGTTCAGCGTCTGGCTCTTGATTTCAGCTCAGGCCATGATCTCGGAGTTATGGGATCAAGCCCTGCATCGGACTCCATGATGAGCATGGAGCCTGCTTAAGATTCTCTCTATCTCCTTCTGTCCTTCCCCTGCTCGCATGCATGCATGCTTTCTCAAAATAAAAAATAATAATAAACCTTAAAAAAATACATCAATAGTGACAAGTGGGCTTTTTAAACATTAACAACTTTTAGCAATGTATCTAATAACTCGTAGTTTCAAAGTAGTGGTCAGAATAATATTTTGAAATTTCAGCAACAACTATAATGTGATATGAAAATATCTATAATTTCTATTGGTGACAAAGTCACAGATATAGCCAACTACTGCTTCTTTAGTTTGTTGCCTACACAATTGAAAGAAAAATCTCAGTTTAATTCAGAGTTAATAAAAATAAAATATACTTTATCCCCCACTAAATTCTATCCATAAACTTTTGGGGAGGTCTCTAGACTCCAAGTTAAGAACTCCTGTGTAATACTTCTTCCTCTGTCCAAAATAATTTTATAATTCTCAGTGGGAAAAAAATAATGGAAAAGTAAAGAGATCATATTGCTGGTCTAGTAATGTCGAGATCCATTGTTTTTATAATGTACTACTGACTTTTCAGGATTATTTCCACATTCCTCTCTCTGAAGATGAACAAGGCAGGTGGTATCTGGAGCTGATGTATGCTGGAGCAGCTCTGAAGGACAGCTGGAGACTTGCTGACGTTGGAATATCATTTTGTTCAACTCTCAAATGCTGTGTCAAGGTATGATAATCAGAATAACATTTGTCCAAGATATCTACTTCATTTTGAATAGAGTGTGGATAATTCAACAAAAGTAATTTCATGGCTCAGGAAGAACTCTCCTTGCCTTCTTCTCTTTTCCATTTGTCTAACTGATCTTATACATGATTTCCACTGTAAGGGCAAATAAGGTATGGAGACTGGATAGAGTTCCCCTGGTTTACTCCTTATCTCCCTTCCTTCCTCGCTCGATCCCCTTTGTTGATAACCCAAAACAGCCATCCCAGAACAACCCACTGACCAATATCAGAATAAGGTCAAGGCATAGATCTGAAATATTGATGTGGGAGGAAAATTCAATCACGTACATGGTTCCACAATGGATTAGGGGCAGTGGAGTGAAGAAAGGGAAGAAATTCTCAGTAACGATAAGAATGTAGAGCAGTTTTTATAGCCAACTCCAGCCAGAGTAGCCATACATTAATTATGTGTACATACCCCAGAGATAGCCTTTTCCATTTATAGTGTCCTGAATTAGTGGTGCTTACTTGGAGGTCATGGATTGGCTTTAAGAACTTTACAAAACCTGGGCACCTGGGTGGCTCAGTCGGTTAAGTGTCTGACTTCGGCTCAGGTCATGATATCACAGTTTGTGTGTTCATGCCCTGCATCAGGCCCTGTGCTGACAGCTAGCTCAGAACCTGGAGGCTGCTTCAGATTCTGTATCTCCCTCTCTCTCTGACCCTCCCCTGCTCATGCTGTCTCTCTCTCTCTCTCAGAAATAAATAAAACATTTAAAAATTTTAAAAAATAAAAAGAACTTTACAAAACCGATTATTTGCAAAATAAGCAGAATTATGTACCTGGAGATTTTTCAGAACGGAGGATCCTTAACTTCTGACAACTTCTTAGAGACAGGTGGCCCAAAGAGTTTAAGAGCTGATCTCTAGGGAAGAAATATGATTCAATAATAGTTCTTTACCCCATATGAAAACATGAGCCTCAAAGAACTAAGTAACTAAGTACACATTCTCTGCTAAATGGCGCACTAATTTTCTCACATTTAGCACTTAAAAAATGTTTATGGTAGCCAAAGCTAAATCTTTTTGTTTTTGAATGTTTTATTAAGTGTAGAGTCTATGTTTAAAAAAATACTCTAAAATATTTATTACTAAGTAACACAAACAGTCACAGAAAAAAAGGATTATACGATCCCATTTATATAAACAAAAAATGTATTTATATATGTGTTTTTAAAGTTTATAAGCATTTATTCATGTATTATTGTTATATTCCTGAAGAATAGTTAATTACACAAAAGGTAAATAAAAATAACACTGACTTCTCCTTCTGACACTAAGAAAATTATAGTAAAATACTCTTTTAGGTAGACTAAATTACATCTCATTTTTCTTTTTTCCCATCTAATTTCTTATATGTCTTTAAATATACTTATATACTATGTTTATGTTTTTGGTAATGTACAGGATAAACTCTTTAAAATATCCTGGAAATTTCCCATGCCAATAATGATGTTTGAAACTTTGTTTACTTGTAGATAGTGGTATAAGTTTCTTACTAATATTTGAGCTGGCTGGAAGAACTGGATTGAGCCACAGCTATTTAGGGATATAGATAATATGTGGTAAGAGTATGAATAAAATACTATTATTTAACTCAGCACTGGCTTTATTTTCCTTACTTAAAAAATTCTTACTCTTATTTATTTTTGAGTAGATAATACACTCACATAGATAAAAGATACAAAAAGTATATATACAGTAAAAAGTCTTCCTCCTTCCTCTTGTGCCTAGTTTCCCTCCCTGGATGCAGTCTATTTCATAGTTTTACTTACAAAAATATTTCATAAATTCTGCCAATAAAGCATCATTTATCAGAGTGATGCAAGCTGCCTTCACACTGAACTGGAATCTTTCCCTGGAGTTGAAACTCTTAATGGTAAAAAATAGAGTATAGAGATGAAATGGGTTTCCTCAAGAGAGGCAGAATATAATTATGTATCACAGGACTGGCCAGCACATAGAGTTTAATTAAAAACTCTCAAGTTCAATGGAAATCTTACTGATCTTAATCTTTACCTCCTCCAGGAGAATCACACTTAGAAAATTTCCTTTCACTGGTTTTGGGAGAAAAACAGATTCTTGAATCTGAAAGAAGAGATTTACCAGCAAAAGTCATAAATATTGGTTTTTATCCTTAGTTCCTGTTTAGATTAGATGATAAAACAGGCCTATTTCAAAAGTCTACACTATTTACTGTGTGTGAATAATAACAGTCCAAATGGGTTTACAACAACAAAAATACTTCATGAAAATATCCCATGCCTCAGAGAATGCAGTCAGACCGGTCCTGTGCTGGTTAATCTATCTTAGGTAACACAAGCCTGCATTCTAAGTCATGTTGTTGCTTTATTGGATAATTAGATAGATACAAACTTAAGTAGTACCTTTCATATTTAACTATGCTACTTCACTCAATTAGTTTTACCTTTTGAGAATCTTGGAAAGCTAGAGGCTCTTCATTTATTTTGGTACAACTGAGACATATCAAAGTGAGAAACAAATGCTGTTGCGAAGTTTAAAAACTTGCCAAGTAAACAATTTTCTTTAAAAAAAAAATACAAGTAGGTATTATGTGACATGAAACAAATCCAAAATACTTGTTTTCTTTATTGTGCTTATATTTTTGTGTGAATTACAAGACTTGCTTGTGTGAAAAGAGGGAAAGACTTTAGATTAATTAAGAGGTAATCTCTTCTTAAATACATTTTTTAAATAGTCAATACATTTTCCAGTTTCCTTTCGTATTATGCCTTTTCCTTTAATGGTAACATAGAACCATTTGGAAGAATGAATAGGAGGGGGTGATATGAGAATAGTGGAGGAAGAACATTGCATTAATTTTTCCTTCTTTGGGAAAAAAACTCTTATAGAAGCCACAGACGTATCTTTCATAGCACATATATCCAAGTTTTATTAACACAGGAGTCAGTCCTGCCCATTCATTGCTCCTGTTCTGGTAAACATGCATGAGGCAGTGGAACGGCGTAGATGGTTGGACATGCAGAAATGCTATCACGTTTGCTCCCTTCGCTCTAACCGGCATTGTTGTGGAAACTATTGCTCAAGTTTTGTTCCCTGTTGGCATTCAGTGCTTAGAAGAGCACCTGGCATATAGGAGGCCCTCTGTAAATATGTTGAATAAATACGTTGACAAAGGTCTTGAGAGGTAGAGTGTGAAACTTAACAAGAAGATATATGATTATCATCAGAAACGTCATAGCAAGGTATTGAGATGCATTGCAGGGTTTGGATTCCCTTCTTTACTGTGGCACCTTTCTCTCCTCTCTCCCCTCAAGGCAAGGTGCTCCTGTATCCTTGCCCTATATTTATTTTCTTATCTAGCATCAGGGTTCTTAGCTGCAAGCACCAAAAACAAACCCTGGACAATTTAAGCAGAAAATAAACATATTGAAAGACTACACAGTCTTGACAGGAAGACTGAAGAATCAGGCTCAGAGATCACAGAGCCAAAAACAATGTCTTAATCATGCCCTAGAACTAGTCCAGGAAGGCTCTACCACGACAGCCACCTCTGAGCCCTTGAAGCAGGTCCCGGACACATTAGCAATGCCTCAGATCCTCCACTGCCAGGGAGGATTCCCTGTGTCTGTTTCTTCTCTGCCTTACAGGCTCCTAATTCAAAGAAGGGCTGGACGGGGAGCCCTGACCAGGAGCACTCTAGTCACATGTCCAGGACCCACCTGCAAAGGGGCGAACAAGCAAGTCTTTGACAGGTCACACCTTCTAACATGTGGAGTGGGCTCAGCCTCCCTGACATTCCTTCTGGGTTCCCTGCCTCCTTCTCTCACCATACTTCTACCAACCAAAGGCTGGAATTAAAGCTTAGTTAATCCTTCCTGGCATCCTTGGAATGTTATTTTATGGTGAGAGATTAGATTAATTGTGGTAGTATTGAGTAGATGTCTATTAGACAAGTTGGAGAAGCTTAAAATACTTAGAAGTTCTAAAGTTGATTCAAATTACTATACTTTTAGCTTTTGAAAGGCACTTTTAACATATAAACACCAAAATCCAGGAGACACATAATATGTGACTTTAGATTTTAAATATACTTGATACACACAAAAATGTATAAATATGCTTCTTAAAAATGTAGAATTCACAAATGAGGGGTGGCTGGCTGGCTCAGTTGGAGAAATAAGTGACTTTTGATCTTGGGGTCATGAGTTCGAGCCCCATGTGGGGTATAGAGATCATGTAAATTTTTTTAACATTTTATTTCTGAAAGAGAGAGAGAGAGAGACAGCATGATCAGGGGAGGGTCAGAGAGAGAGGGAAATACAGACTCTGAAGCAGGCTCCAGACTCTGAGCTGTCAGCACAGAGCCCGACGCAGGGCTCGAACCCACGAACCATGAGATCATGACCTGAGCCGAAGTTGGACACTTAACCAACTGAGCCACCCAGGCACCCCTAGAGATGACGTAAATTTCAAAAAAGCTTTTTTAACTTAAAAAAAAGTATAATTTACAAATAAAACATGTTTCTAAAAAATGTATGTCTTTTTAAAGGTAAGCCATGTAAAGAATTTGGTGAAGAAAGATATTTGAATTCAGGGTCCTAGAATCCAAGTGTAACCTCTCCAGGATGATTTTCATACAAAAGAAGTTTATGAGGTTAAGATGTTTATGAAGACATCTCAACCTGAATTCCTTCAGGTCAACAAAAGCAAACATTATTTCCTCTTTTCATCTATTCAGGAATAATTGGGGCAAGTTTCTCCTTTTTTAGTGCTGTGACTCCAGAACAGCAAAATATAAAAAAGCAGAACTTGTAGGAAATGTATAGCAGTATTCAAAACTTGCATTAACTTTTGTTTTCTTTCCATCTGTTTCTAACTTTTCCTATTTTATTGTTAATGCACATGTATGTATTTACAGTGAGTTTGCACTTGGTTTCTTAAGACAAAAATGAAATTATTACCATGAGGTAGATCTACATATTTGTTTTTATTGAAAAGTAAGACATTTTGTCTGTACCTCCTACCAACCATGGTGTCTTGGTTTATTCAAGGGGAAAATCTAATTTTATATATGTTCAACAATGATTTGCGATAGTATTGTTTACTTAATAACACCTGACTGCCTTGCGTACAACTACCAGTGCTTCCTTATTTAGAATATTTGAGGAGGGCCATCATAGAGATAGAGAGATGCCTTTTCTTATGTAGATAAGATGGGTTGGCAAGTTGCTATTAATCGGCACCTACCTGCACCCTCTCCAAATAACCAAAATGAAGAAATATCTCCAATTGGTGTGCCCCATTAGAACTTAAAATGAGTTTTCTCACAAAAATAAGGTTTATAAAATATGGATAAATAGAGTTAAAATAGTACAAAGAGAACTATGTTCAGATACATTATGAATTAAATGGGCTTGGGAAATATCTGGGTGGAAAAAAAAGAACTCAAAAAATAAATTAATTAATTAACAAATTCTGTAGGTGTTAACTTTCTTGCAACTTAATAACCTGGCTTCATTGATAATTAATAATATTTTCTTATTTACACTTTTGATTTTCATCTAAACATTGCCATATATTTTGCAATTCTCGCTTATTACTTGTTTCAGAGCTTTATGTATACCTAGATTATAGATGCTCGCTTATTCATATTATAAGAAGCTTCTTTTTAACTTAATTCTGTAACATTATGTCATTGCTAGTTAGCTCCTAAGAGTGACTTGCACATTGCATATTTAATTTTAAATATAAATTAGCATTGGTACCAAGGGCTAACAAGAAATCAGAGTAATCATAAAAGAAATAAGGAACAGCTATTACCTGAAATGTAATTTTTCTCTCCCCCTCCCATCTTTTTATTCAGTTTTCATAGAATTTCTTC